GCATGAGTTTGTTTGTCATGGTCTTCGTGTGTGTGTCATCCTGCAGCTGAAGGCTGAAGCGGCGGGCATCGAGCACAGCCTGGACCAGCTGCTGCAACTGCAGTCCAAGGTATGCATGAAGATACACGTGATTGAGAACTCTGTGTCCATGCCGTCGAGGCTGGTTGGTTTGATTGGTGTGGTGCAGGTTGGTGGCTGTCTGTCGGTGAGCTGATGGTGAAATGATGCAGTAGGCGGAGGGCGGCAAAGAAGATGGCGATGATCTGATAGTTGCTTGTGAGAGGGAAGGTTTGCTGGCTTGGAGAAAGAGTCCCAAAGCAGTCGGAGGAAAATGGGCGGAAGCGGTTCGCACCCACAGCAGGAAACGGCGACGCATCCACAGGAAACGGCCATCCCGGCAGGGCGAGCAGTGCGCATCAACCTCGAGGACATCCGCTACTTCAAGTTCGAGCACTCTCCTTATGTCCAGCGTTTGCTTGTGACCAGCTGGCTCGAGACAGACCGTTTCAAGACAGTCAAGGACGTCCAGGCTTTCATCGATTGGATGGGGGAGCCGGGCAGGGAGGCGCCTGTGCCCAGCGAGAACTACAGCGTGCTCGTTGGCTGCTATGAGGGTGTCGACGGGGACACACCTGTGGGCGACAAGTACGTGTGGATGGACACACGCACGCGCGCGCACAAAGAGTCACTGTGTGTGTATTGGCTGGCGCGCTCTCTCTGTGCGTGCGTGTCTCTCTCCTTCTGTGCGGTGTATGTATGTGTGTGTGTGTGTGTGTGTGTGTGCAGGGGGAAGAGTGAGGATGACCCGTTTATCCTGAGGAAAGTCAAGATCCAGCCGGGAGGTGCGCACCACACAGCGAGCTCTCTCGAAACACATGGCATGCCCGTGCTTTTCCTGTCTGTCTGACTGGCTGTTGTCTGCACGTGTGTGTGGTTGCCTACCGTGACTGACAGGTGATGGTGGTGCCCAACAAACGAGCGTCAACATGCGTTCTCACGATGGATGCCACTATTTACCCGTCCAGAGTGACAACGACAAGCACCAGATAGAGCTGGCAGCGCGTGAGCAAGGTGTACAGTAGAGGGTCATTTTTCGGGGGGATGTCCGTATGTTGAGGGGTGCGGGGGGCAGTCCTGTCTGCTGGTGATGTGGTGGTTGGTGACGAGAAGCAGCGGGGCCTCTCTGGTGGCGAGAAGAAGCGTCTCCTGAGAATCGACGTCGTACAAACGTTTGCTGCTGTTCGAGCCACAGCGGGCCAGCACCATTCGACAGACAGACAGACAGGTATGGTATCCATCCCCCCTAGAAAGCACCGAATGGTTGTTTGCATCATCTGGGTGGGGTGCGTGAGGGGTTGGCTGTGTGTTGGTCGTGAACGTATGGTGTGATGGTGCGTGCGTATGTGCCGTGTTTGACCGACGGACAGACTGAGACACCCGCAATGCATCAACACTGTTTCTCAACCTTGCCACAGTCCAAGTCTCCTGTACATGCATAGCTAGCACCGCATCTCATCTCACCTCACCACGTCGCGTCGTCCATCCATCCATCCATGCATGGATGGATGGAAGCACTCTCAACTTCCAATACCCCACGGGCAAAAACTCCCCATCCGTCGCTTTCTACATGCGGACGCCTCAGCCGGCTGTCTGTCCTTCTTTCTGTCTGTCTCTGCTTGTCGCTGCAATCACTTCAGGACGGGATTGCCGATGAGTTCTTGTGCAATGAGTCCCAGGATGGCGACCATCGCCAGTCGACCGTTGTTGATCTCCTGGGTGGCGAGGGTCTTGAGCTTCTCGGGGTTTTTCTGAATCATCGGAATCCGACCGGGGCCAGCATACCCGGGCTCCTGCAGGCACAGACAGACAGACAGACAGACAGACAGGCAGGCAGGCAGGAGCCAGTCACCGATGAGATCACAGCACATCACACACACGATTGGCTGACTGACCTTGTACATGATGTCCCATGTGGCTCCCTCGAGGATGCCATTGAGCAGCAGGATCTGCACCAGCCCGAATGACGGCAGCTTTGTCACCGCAGCGTGCCTGCACGCCCCACACACACACGGCACAAATCGACTCCAGTGCAAAATCAGTCTGTGTGGTGGCATCCATCCGTAAATCAGCCACACGTACCCTGCCGGGACATCAGCGAAGGCGAGGCCAGTGGTGGTGTCCAGGATGCCCGGCAGCTTGAAGAAGTAGGGCACGACATACCCCAGCACCGCCAGCATTGCCACGCGCCCGTGCTTGATCTCCGCGGCCTGAAGGAATTTGAACTCCTCATCCTCAGTGTCAAGACCTGCACAAACAAGCACACACACACACACAAACACACACACACACACACACACAGAGAGAGAGAGAGAGAGAGAGGCGTGAGGGAGTAACAGGGATGCCCTGTGCTGTCCGCGAAGTTGTCTTGCTCACCTCTTGAGAGGCCGGCGGGATCAAAGAAGCCGATGGGAGGCGCCACACCTGGGGCGGTCGATGGTGCCGCCTTCTGCAAAGCCAGGTAAGCAGACAACAGATCCAAAGTGCTGTGTGATGAATGCCCTGTACGTTGCTCTGCGCTTCACCAGCTGTGTGTGTCGTTGAGAGAGAAGGGGCTTTGTTGGCGGCACGAACGCCAGGGCGGAGACGGCAGATGCCGCGACCAGGATGAACAGGAGCTTCATTCTCACACAACACACAACGCTTCTGCTGGCCTCTCCTCCTCAGCTGCGATCTGCGAGGTACCCAATCGCTGTAAACTCCGTCGAACCCTGTTCCCCTCCCTCCCCCTCCTATGTCACAGGGGGCATGGGTCAACACTCAGTACGGCAACGTTTCGATTCCACACATCATGGCATTGCCCAAGACACTGTCAGCCCCTTCGCTTCATTCTTCCAAGGCCCTCCGCGAAGCGGCGTACAATCGCTCCACTTTCTACTCGGCCAACGACCACCCGAGGTGCACCTACAGTCTTCTCAAGGGCTTCACCGTCGTCGATGAGGTATGTTTGCCTTGCAATGTCATCAACAACAAATTGAATGCAATGCAGCTGCATTTGTTCTTGGTCAACCATGCAGGACACGGTCGAGCTGGAGGTGCACACGCGGGACAGGCAGGGGAAGAGGAGCAGACACAGGGGGCCGCCCACCACCACCCACGAAGGCCGGACGGTGCTCACTCTCGCCGCTGCACTGAAGGACCAAAAGGGCCAACCAGCAGCTGACATGTCTCTTCCCCCACTTGAAGACCAGCAGAAGTACTTCCGCGACAGACGGATGAGCCGCCCCGGCACAGCCAGCCGGCCGCCTTCCTCTCGCCGCCCCTCCAGACCACCGTCCGCCACCCCTCGAGAGAAGAAGGAAACGACGAAGACGTTGCGTGGGTACAGCTTTAAGGCCCTCCCTGGAGAGAGCCGGCTGGTAAGCAGTGGTGAGGGGGTGGCCGAGAGGGATGCGGATGGCGTACCGCCGGTGGTGAGGTGTCGCTTCTCGCGGGGATTGTGGGAGATCTTCTATGGGGAAGCGAGAGACCTTGTTCACCTACTCAGGTATGAGCATGCATACAGACAGACACAGGCCAAACAGATGACATACGATACGTGCCATTTCGTGGCCGTTGCAGGTCCTATCCCCAAACGCACACTGTCCGTGCCTTGCTCTCGCTCTATCGCCAGTGCGTGAGGAGCAGGGGCGTGTGGACCGCCTTCAGCCTCACCCTCGCCCAGTTCCTGAGAGTCTTCCCGCGCACATTCATCGTCTTCGTCAGCCCAGACAGACTGAAAAGGGGACATCCCTCATCCTCTCGCCCGGTGATTGGTGTGCGACTGCGTTGCCCTTCCTGTCCAGAGGTGATCGACAAGATGGGCGAGGCCATGTCGGCGTTTGTGCTGCGGACCAGGAGCATGAAGCGGTCTCAGTCGAGTGTGCTGCCGCCTCTGTCTCGCCCTGTTGATGTGAATGAGAAGAGGCCGGTGAGTGCTGATTCGGACAAAGCTGTGCAGCCGTTCCCTGTTCCCTGGAGGAGGAGGGAGGGGCCATCGGTGTCTGTGTCGCCTTATCCTGACTTCGTCGAGCAGCGGATGAGCCGCCCCTACAAGAGCGTGTCTATCTATGGCTAGTGGGTGTGGGGTTGATGGACATGATAACAGAGACTTTTGCTCTTTCCTTCATCTGGCTGCTCGTTGGGTTTGTGTGTGTGTGTGTGTGTGTGTCGTTTGGAGGAGCACGCTGGTAGCGAGAGCCATCAGGGATGGTTGGATGGATTCGTCTCGTTCACCAGCCGTGACTGTCTCGGTCGCTGCTACCGGCACTAATCAGGCAGTCTCGTGTCCCGCTCATGCAGCCAAAACGCTCAGAAGCCCGGATTGAGCTTCTTTTCTCTCTTCTCTCCTCTCTCGTGGTCATTCATCTACTCTCGCTCTTTCCTGTCACCGCGGGCAGGCAGGTAGCTACTGAGAGCGCTTGGCGAACTGTATGAATGACGCACACAGCTGGTCGACACGCTTCTGATACTCCTCTTCAATGAGGTCGCCGTCGTCACTGAAGATGCCCTTCTTCTCAAAACGCTTGATGCACACCTGCGCACACAGAGAGAGACACGCACACGTGTGTGGCACCGAGTGGACTTGTCGAATATACCTCCGGCTTGTTCATCAGATGGACGTTCAGAAACACACACACCTACCGCCCAACCCACACACACAAAAAAAAGACGTGTGAGCATGCACATGGACGAGCATATGCTCTGTGTCGCCTCTCACGCCGCGGAGATGGTATCTGAGATGGACATAATAGGCACACAGCTCAAGCAAATTGGATGAAGGAACGGCCGGCATGCACTCTCGTGTAGCACTCACTGTGCGTTCTTGGTGCCGAAGCCACCGCCGGCCCCCATGACAGCCGCCGGCTTGCCGTCCCAGCAGTTGGGAGTGCTGCAGCAAGGACGGCAGACAACCCATAGACACACAGACGGACGGACGAGCACACCATGCACGTGATGTGGCCCCTGCTGACCGAGAGCCCCAGTCGAGGGCATTCTTCAGAGCGCCACTCAGACCTGACAATGAAACGATGAGGACACAGCACGTCTTTCTGCCCTGTGAATGAGAGGCAATGGATGCGTCAGGGCGGTGAAGCTCACCGTAATTGTACCTGCAGTATCATGACAGACAGATACACAAAAGAGAGAGGAATCGGCCCTGGTCTGTCATACTCGGGGCAAGCGAAGATGACACCGTCGGCCGATTTCACGGCCTCCTTGAACTCTCGAACTGCCTGCGATGATTGCATGCACACACTCAGCACCATTCAGCGTTCTCTGATGTCTGCCGCCTGTCCGCCACTCATCCATCCCTCCATCATCTTACGTACGTCGGGTGCGTTGGGCTCCAGGTCCTGGTTGAACATCGGCAGCCCACTGATGTCGTGCATCTCAAGGGAAACGCCCTCCTTGGCCAGCGCCGTCTGTGCGTAGCGCAGGAGGCCTGTGTTGGTCGAGGCCTTGCGGAGACTCCCAGACACGCCAACAAATCGGAGGGCTTTGCCACTCGCAGCCATGGGTGCTTCTCTGCTGCTCTCGGGGCGCCGAAATGAGTCAAAAAGTGATGCAACAACTCTTTTGCGAGCTAAGCTCGCGTCTGTCTGCGTTTGTCGAGAAAAAAAGAGCATTTGCATTGCCCCAGGGCCGCCTTTGATAACGCCAAGCGTAGATCTACGATGGATCTGATGAATGCAGCGCAGTTGCATCATTGCCGAGGTTGATGATCAGAAGCTGCTGGACCACCGTCACCATCATCAGCCGCTATCCCTCTCATCGTTTGCCCTGCAGCGGGCTCCTCATCTGCCGTCGGTTCCAATCTTCCGATGCTGCGCATGCTACCGATGACTGCGGCGTCGACGAGGAGCTCATCACAATCGCCTCCGAGGTGGTCAAGCGGCGCGCCTTCTCGCCCACCCCTCCCCGCATCAAGTCGCCCTGGCTGCCTGCACCCACTGAGCCGCCCTTGGCCGCAGTCTGCCGGCGGCTGCTGCCTCACTGCGAGCATCTGGTGCACCTGGCTGAGGAGCTGAAGGTGGCTGATAGCCTGCTGACAGAGGGCGAGGGGGGAGGAGAGGGCGACAGTGCGTTTGTGCAGCGTGAGAGGGCGGCAGTGTTGGCCAAGGTGCGGGAGGTGGAGGGCAAGATGGAGGAGGAAATGCTCAACGACGAGGGAATGGACGCGAGGGACGTCATTCTCGAGGTGGCTAGATCCATCCCCACAAAAACACACACATACACTGACACTCTTTTGTGTGTTTGTGTGTGTGTGTGTGTGTGTGTGTGTGTGGCAGGTCCGTCCGGGCGTGGGTGGGCAGGAGGCGTGCCTTTTCGCCCGTGAGCTCTTCCACATGTACGAGAGCGCATGCACCGCCCTCGCGCTCACCTTCACGCCGCTGGACGTCAAGCGGTCTTCAGAGGGGGGCGGTGAGGGCTACAGGGAGGCCATCGCCGAGGTGAGCGGCAGTGCGGCCGCCCCCCACGGCTGGCTCAAGTGGGAGGGCGGGGTCCACCGGGTGCAGCGGGTGCCCAAGACGGAGAGGATGGGGCGCATCCACACCAGTGCCGCATCGGTGGTCGTCCTGCCCAAGGCTGACACGACTGAAGGCAAGAGAGGGAGATGGGCACAGAGAGGGGAGGAGTGGGTCGTGCCTTATCTGTGATATGTGTGTGTGTGTGTGTGTGTGTAGTGTCGATATCTTCTGGCGATTTGAAGATCGAGAGCATGCGGGGCAGCGGGCCGGGGGGGCAGAGCGTCAACATGGCCGACACGGCCGTCAGGATCACACACAAACCCACCAAAATCGCCGTCAAAGTCAGCGACACATCCTCACTGGTAATCTAATCTACACACGCAGCGCAGCGCAGCCATGCCCATGGCCGCCGACACTCATGAAACGAACACACATCTGTCTGTCTGTCTGTCTGTCTGTCTGCTTCTTTTGCTGCCAGATTTCCAATCGCGTCAAGGCCATGTCGCTGCTGAGGGCCCGGCTCTTCGACATACAGCGCAGAACCAAGGCACAGGTAGTCCCCGCCCCCCAATGACACACACACACACACACACACACCCTATCCCCTACACACGACACCAGACACGAATGGTGTGCCTTCCTGGTGGCATGGCAGGCGGCCTCGGACGTGCGCGCAGAGCACCAGGGCACGGGCGACAGGAGCGAAAAGATCCGCACTTACAACTACACGCGCGACACAGTCACTGACCACAGGTAAGTATAGCATCCGTGAGCAGAGCAGAGCAGAAGGATGAGGTGACGCACTTGTGTGTGTGTGTGTGTGTGTGTGTGTGGCCCAACGACGCCATGGCAGGGGTGGGATCAGCGTACCGGGTGCGCAGGCGCTGCTGCAGACGGGCCATGGTTTTATCCCGCTGATCGGCCTCATCCAGGCGCAACACAACACAGCGGCCCTGCACACCATGCGGCGGGAACTGATTGAGTTCCTTCTCAGTGCTGCTAGTGGTGGCGATGGCCATGGCGATGGTGACGGACATGTGGCCGAGGAGGAGGAAGTGCCAGGTGGTGTCCACCGTGGAGGTGCGAGCAGGTGATAGATCTGATCCTGTTGGTGGCCACAGAGGCGGTGTGCATAGCCAAGTGGGTGGGTCTGTGTGTGTGTGTGTGTCTGTGTGTGTGTGTGTCTGTGTGTCTGTCTGTGCCCCTCTCAAACTGCAAAGAAAGACATAATCAATCAGACTGTCACGGATGGGCTGCTGACTGAATGAATGGCCGATGAATGCATTGGAATGATGAATGGGCCACGAGCGCACGCAACCTTAAAGGCAGGCAGACAGGCAGGCAGGCATGAACACACACACATCGACACACACACACACACGCACAGAGACAGAGAGAGAGGGGCACATGCGCAGTGCAAGCCCCCTCCCTCCCTCCCTCTCTGCACACACAGCCCACCCCTGCGCACATCCGTGTGTGGGAAGGTGCCTGCCTGCGTGCTGCGCACTCCTGCACAACCGCATTCACGAAATTCGCAAACCCTACATAGCATAATTAGGGTTTAGGGTGTGGGGTTTCAAGCCCTGCGAGCTTAGAAGTGCTGCAATAGACCGCACAAACCGCAGATCTCCGCAGAAAGGCTCACAGGAAGGCCATACACGCAGTCAGGAGCAGCCAGAAGGACAAGTAAGCTGACATCTCTCTCTGTGTGTGCGTCTGTCTGGGTGTGCAGGTCGAGATGGCGTGTTGTGCCAAGACCCCGAGGCTCATTCGGGTGCCAGAGGATTGCTCTCGATGAAGGCTTTGCTATGCGCCGACCAATTGGCCTCTGCGGAACTTCTCTCTGAACCCTCCCTCTCAAGCCATTTTCTGTCCATCTCCGCAGGCCCGTGGTTGGCTCTGTGGGTGTCGCCCGGCCCATCCGACACATGGATCTGGTGCACCCTTGAGTTGGTGACACACGTGCCAAGAGAGAGGGGCAGGTCAGCAAAACTGACGACGCTACACAAGCGCACAAAAATGTCACCATTCTGCCACTTTTGACCGTAGGATGACCATTGATGGCCACCTGTAGGCCCACATACCACTGATAGACAAGAACCAAGACCACTGGTGGTTAGTGCGAAAACTACTGGAACGACCCTTTTATAACCGACTGACTTGTTTTTCAGTGTGGTCCGTCCGGGTGTGGGTGGGCAGGAGGCGTGCCTTTTCGCCCGTGAGCTCTTCCACATGTACGAGAGCGCATGCACCGCCCTTGCGCTCACCTTCACGCCGCTGGACGTCCAGCGGTCCTCAGAGGGGGGCGGTGAGGGCTACAGGGAGGCCATCGCCGAGGTGAGCGGCAGTGCGGCCGCCCCCCACGGCTGGCTCAAGTGGGAGGGCGGGGTCCACCGGGTGCAGCGGGTGCCCAAGACGGAGAGGATGGGGCGCATCCACACCAGTGCCGCATCGGTGGTCGTCCTGCCCAAGGCTGACACGACTGAAGGCAAGAGAGGGAGATGGGCACAGAGAGGGGAGCAGGTGGGTCGTGCCTTATCTGTGATATGTGTGTGTGGCTGTGTGTGTAGTGTCGATATCTTCTGGCGATTTGAAGATCGAGAGCATGCGGGGCAGCGGGCCGGGGGGGCAGAGCGTCAACATGGCCGACACGGCCGTCAGGATCACACACAAACCCACCAAAATCGCCGTCAAAGTCAGCGACACATCCTCACTGGTAATCTAATCTACACACGCAGCGCAGCGCAGCCATGCCCATGGCCGCCGACACTCATGAAACGAACACACATCTGTCTGTCTGTCTGTCTGTTTCCTTTGCTGCCAGATTTCCAATCGCGTCAAGGCCATGTCGCTGCTGAGGGCCCGGCTCTTCGACATACAGCGCAGAACCAAGGCACAGGTAGTCCCCGCCCCCCAATCACACACACACACACACACACCCTATCCCCTACACACGACACCAGACACGAATGGTGTGCCTTCCTGGTGGCATGGCAGGCGGCCTCGGACGTGCGCGCAGAGCACCAGGGCACGGGCGACAGGAGCGAAAAGATCCGCACTTACAACTACACGCGCGACACAGTCACTGACCACAGGTAAGTATAGCATCCGTGAGCAGAGCAGAGCAGAAGGATGAGGTGACGCACTTGTGTGTGTGTGTGTGTGTGGCCCAACGACGCCATGGCAGGGGTGGGATCAGCGTGCCGGGTGCGCAGGCGCTGCTGCAGACGGGCCATGGTTTTATCCCGCTGATCGGCCTCATCCAGGCGCAACACAACACAGCGGCCCTGCACACCATGCGGCGGGAGCTGATTGAGTTCCTTCTCAGTGCTGCTAGTGGTGGCGATGGCCATGGCGACGGTGAGGGACATGTGGCCGAGGAGGAGGAAGTGCCAGGTGGTGTCCACCGTGGAGGTGCGAGCAGGTGATAGATCTGATCCTGTTGGTGGCCACAGAGGCGGTGTGTTAGCCAAGTGGGTGGGTGTATAGATCCAACCCATCCACGGTGTTGGGGAATTTAGGGTTGACTGACAGACACATACAAATGACTCACTGACTGACATGGTTGAGTTGAACGTTCGATGGTCAGACGACTCGACTCGCACACCATGAAATGCACTGCACGGCCGACGAGAAAAGACCGCACACACCGCACACACGCAGCACGTCTACCTAGCCACCACACCCAGCTGTCCGTCTGTCCGTCTGTCTGTCTGTCTGTCTGTCCGTCCACTTTCGCTACACCCAGGAGGCCGGCAGACAGACGAGGAGGGAGTGAGAGAGGCAGGGAGAGAGAGAGAACCAGCCCTCCCCGACCCTCCCCGTTGCTTAAATCTGCCGCTCATGACCACACAGACAGAAAGACAGGCAGAGAGCGAGATGGATGGAGGGAGGGAGGGAGGGAGGGACGGGTGGACCAAAATCGCTCAGCTCACCAGACAGACACTCACGACGACGCACCCATTTATCCATCCATCCATCCATCCATCCATCGTCCTGGCATGTTAGATATCTATGTTATGTTCGCAGAGGCAGGCAGGCAGGCAGCACACACACGCGCAAACGCACGCAAAGCCGCGCCCACCCACACGTGTGAGCGCACCGAAGACAGACCGCCTCCATCGGCTTCCCTGCTACGTGTGCAGCCAGCCTACTGGCTTGGCCTGATGGAAACATCCGCACACACGCACGCACCCACCCATCCATCCATCCATCCGCCTATGTCCCTCCCTCCCTGACCTGACTGGTCGGATCATTCATTCCTCAGTCTTGTCGTCGTCGTCAACGTCTTGAGCGTCAGCCAGCCAGGCGTCGGGTGCCGGCTGCCCCTCTGCCCCTGGCTGCACTACCGCGTTGCCCTGGATGTGGTGCCCTGGTGGGTCGGGCAGGTGCAGCCCCTCCCCGTCCCCCTCCTGATCTGCTGCTGCCTCCTCGCCGCCGGCGTCCTCAACCTCTCCCTCATCCCCGTCTGATGAAAAGGAACACACAACCAACAGGCATGGGATAGATGCATGTGTGGAGACAGTCGGTGTGGGTCTGGCGGAGGTAGGGAGAGGTGGGTAGAGGTGGGTGGGTATGTCATTACATACCGTCCTCGTCGTCGTCATCGTCATCGCCATCGCCCTGATCCGCCTCCTCGAACTCCTCGTCGTCCTCATCATCCTCGTCCTCCTCCTCCTCACCCTGCAAACGTGAGCAGCACAACACAACACACACACGCACTCGTGTGTGTGTCCTTTGCCTCTTCTTGTTTGCATGTGCCGCCGCACCCACTCACCGGTCTGTTAGCGTATCCACCCGTGACTTTGGCGATGAGAGCCGCCGCGTGGCTCTGGCCCATACCCACGCCCAGACGACCAGACTTCCAAGGAACGGCTGAATGCACACAGGCAGGCAGGCAGGCAGACAGGCGATCGGTCCTCGTGTGTGTGTGTGTGTGTGTGTTCTGTGGTGTTCTGTGTGCAGGAGCGTCAGCCAGCCCGGCAGCCAGTCGGTTGAGTTGACGTACCCTGCTCTTGGTTGTCGTCTTCCTCTTCATCTTCGTCCTCATCCTCATCCTCGTCCGAGCCGTCCTCGTCCTCCTCCTCCTCCAGCTCGTTGGCGTTAAGACCCCACTCATTGCTGTCATACAAATTATCATACCCACCACCGGAATTCATGCCATCCTGTTGACACACACACACATACACACACGGGGGTAGGAAATGGCTGTGTGGTGTGGTGTGGTGTGGTGTGGCTGGCTGACCGCGGAGAGGTCCATGTCGTCATCGTCGAGATCATCGCCGTCGACGGCCTGCTGGCTGCTGGTGTCGGGCTGGTACTCCTCGTCATCATCCTCCTCGGCCGCCAACTGACACGCACCGACCAACCATACACACGTAATGCCCGTCTGTCTCTCACCTCTTTCCCTCCCTGCCTCTTTCTGACCTCTTCATCGGTGCGCTGCATGAAATGTCTGACCCTCTGGTTGGGCGCCAGCTCGTCCATGTCCATGGGAGCCAGGTCAGCCACCCCCCCGCCCTCGCCATTGTCGCCCCCGCCCCGCCGCTCCACCGCCCGCCTCTTGCGGGGGTTCTTGACACCGTCGGCAGTGCGGAAACCGGTCACCGCACCATTGTTGTCGACGCGCTCGTTGCGCGAGTCGTCGTACATGTCACTGAAACATTCACAGACACGGACACAGACACTCGTAATTGAGACCGATGCTGGAGACCACACCCACGCCCATGGAGCGCACCTGTCGTCGGCTTTCCTCTTGTTGCGTGGCTGCTCGTCCTCCTGCTCCACCCGCGGCTTGCACTTGACCACGGGGGGCGGCCGGGCGGCCGTCTCGGACGTCGGGGCGGACGAGCTGCTGCTCGACACATGAGGACCCACAGGCAGCGACGTTTGCGAGGGATGGGAGGGTGCGGGCGCGGGTGGTGGTGGGGGTGGGGGAGAGGGGCCGTCGGCGCCACCACCGTGGCCGTTGTCGTCGTCCCTGCCGTTGTGATGGTCGTCGTGTGCGTCTGGGTGTTGGTCTTGGTCTTGGTCTTGTTGAGCGATATCCTCCTCTGAGATCTTGTTGTCGTCCAGGTCGAGGAACTGCAGCGAGGGGGACGACCGGACCAACGCACGGAGGGCCGGCGCGCTGAGCTCCGTCAGACCATTGTCTGCACAACGCGCAACACACAGACAGACAGAGAGTCTGTGAGATCGTCATTGGATCCCTCTCTGTCTCTGTGTGTGTGTTTCTGTCTCTCTGCTGACCTGAGAGGTCAACGTCCCGAATGTGTTGGCACTTGGCGAGTGCCTCGCAGAGGGCGATCCCGCCCTCATCGCCGATGTGGTTCTCGCGAAGCGACAGCGAATGAAGCCGACCGATCTGCGGCAGCACCTGCACACACACACACACACACACACCCCGATGGAACAAGCGGATGGCTCCCTGTCTGTCTGCACGCACCTCAGCAAGTTGCAGCGCCCCCAAGTCGTTGAGCCGGTTGCAGTCGAGGTCGATCATCTCCAGCAGTGGGCAGTGCGGCAGCATGACGCACAGCGCGTTGACGTGGATGCCCTTGAGTTCGTTGTCGGCCAGCGACAGGCAGGTCAGCTTCTGGCAGTCGGGGAAAGCGAACGACAGCAGGTGCACCGTCGCCGCCAGCAGCTTGCACGAGTCGATGCGCAGCTCCACCAGGTCCGACAGCAGTGGGAGGGAGGTCTGCAGACCCTCGGCCACGTCGTTGCCGAGCTGACAGTACTCCTGAGTGACCGACCACACACACAACTTTCCATCTCTCTCTCCCAACCATATGTATGTGTGTGTGTGTGTGTGTGTGTGTGTCCATCTGTGTCGAGAGCGCACCACTGTCAATTTTTTGAGCCGTCTGCATCTGCCCAACGAGCGGAGGAGTATCCTGAAGCCCGGCCGGTTCATGTGTGTGACGTGCAGGTGCTGGAGGTTGACGAAGTCGCCGAGCGGCACACCCTTGATGTTGCTCGACGTCACGTGCAGGCTCATCACACTCTCGCCGGTCAGCTGCTTGAACCGGCGACACACAGGCCGGAAATCCTGACACCAAAGAGCACACCACATCCAACCAGGCAGACAGGCAGACACACGCATTAAGTCTGGCATGCCGCAGACACCCGTCCGTCTGTCTGTCTGCTTGTTTGTCTGTCTGACCTGCATGAGTGTGTGAAGTCCGACGAACGAGAAGACCCCGAGCCACTCGTCGGTGAGCATGCCGATGGCGGGCATCGGCGGCCCGCCCGCCTGGCCCTCATCGCCACAGCCGGCCAGCTGCCGCTGCCGCCGGGTCCGCGGACGCTCAGCGCCGCTCGATGGACACACTATCTTGCTCGTACGCTTCGGAGCGCCAGCCGCATTGCTACCGCTCGACGGCACCAAAGTACGGCTGCGCAACTTGTTCACCATCGCGTCTTATCTAGAGATATGGTGCAGCCAGCGACCTCCACCCAACAGAAGCTCGCAAGTGTGGCTAGCTGCAGCTGCCAGAGGGAGGTGTTTGGCCAGATCCTGCAAGGAAGTGTGACGAACAAGGCACGCGCAAGACGTTTGCAAGTGCACAACTGCTCTCGAGGCTCTCTAGGTGTTCAGCAGCAGCAGCAGCAGTCACTGTGGTTGTGACACCGATGGCTGAGGTGGTTCTGGGCGAGGAGCTGATCAAGGCGTATGCGGCGCCCACTGCAGTGACGATTATATGGATCGTCCGATATCAACTCATCGATGTGCTCGGTGAGCGTGTGTCACTGTCTGTCTGTCTGTTTGGTTGCATTGCGTTGATTTGATTTGATTGTGTAGGTGTGGGCTTCCTGAGGCGAAAGCACCAGATCAGGTTCCCGATCATGACTGGCAACGATGAGTTTGAGAGGGCCGTGAGGGCCCAGATGAACCAGGTGGAGCAGATGCCCATCTTCCTCAGTAAGTGCCGCGGCCCACACACACAGACACACACGGGAGGCCCTTCCAGGCCATCTTTGCCGCTGCATGTGTATGTGTACACGCAGCACTGATGTGGATGTTTTCCATCATGGTCTCCCCTCTATGGGGTGCGCTTCTGGGCTCCGCCTGGGTGATACTCAGACACGCGTAAGCCGGCCACATGCGCACCGGACACACCATGAAAGGAATGGGTCAATGTGTTAATTGATGTGGCAGGTATGCAGCGACGTATCGCAAGTCAGCCAAGGTGAGCGTGCTTCTGCGCCTGACCATTCCTGCCTACTCCGTGCTCATTGCCATGATGGTGGGCATCATCGTGCGGGTCGTGATGGTGTTCATTCACAAAAAATGAATAGCTGGCGGCATATATATCTCCCTGCCTGCCTGCCTGCCTGCCTGCTGCCGCCTGCTGTTGGGTACATTCATTACATGTAGGGATTCGTCGTTTGCGTCAGGTTTTTGTAGGTGTGTTTGAAGTGACTTTTGGACATATGAATGAATTCGAACGTGTCCATGTATTCGTGTGAGAGTGAGAGTGCGGGTGATGATGTACTGTGTCTGTGTCTGTGGGTCGCAAACGTTTGGGTGTACTTTACGTATTGGGCGATCAGGTGGAACGCGGGAGGGAGGGAGGGAGGGAGGGAGGGAGGGGTCATTTAGATATTCAGACGATTCATTTCAGTGACGGGCAGGGCATTTCGACTCACAGTCAGTCAGTCAGTCAGTCAGTCTTTCATGGACTTGAAGGCAGGAACCGATCGATATATTGACATGTACGTTCGTTTGCGGAATACATCCAACACACAACATCTTTATTCGTGCATCAAGGCAGCACTCCGCCCACGTCAGCTGTATGCACAACCAACAGAGGCAGTAGATATCTATCCAACTTAGGTCACTCACTGGGCCTCTCCTCCCCCTCCCGCCCTGCTCCCTCCCCCTCCCTGCTCCTCTTTCTCTTTCTTTGGCTCGCATGCATCACAATCACCCTCTTCTGCCTCTTCCACCCTCTTGGCCACGGTGAGGCCCCACGCATCACACAGCTCCCTCTCCTCACTAGCGCCCCCATACACCACCACCTGCTGCACACCCAAGCCCTCCCCGCCACACAACACGTCACTCACATGCCCGAAACGGGCGCACGGAGCCTTCAGCGGCGCAGCGGGGCCCACCAGCCGCGATGATGAGAAGGAACTGCCCGGCTGCTGCGATGGGGAAGGGATGTTGTGCCAGGTCAGGGTGACGGGGGGCAGGGCCGCTCCTGTTGGCTTGACGCTTGCCTCGGCGATCCACAGGTCGTTTGTGAAGCCGTGTGCAGCGTCCATGCCTCCAAACACCACTAACAGATGGGGGGACGACGGGCTCAGAGGGGCGAGCATCTGACCGACGTCAACCACAAACGGCACGCCATGTCATGTGTCTGTTCTCGTGTTCCGGTGTTAGGCTCGCTTACATTGGCAGTGTGAGCGCACCTCGCGAACGGCGTCTTATCCACATACGTCCACTCGCCACTGATGGCCGCCCCCTCCCCCTCCTCCCCTCCCTCTACAGTGATCCCCAGGTGCCACACCTCATCGCTAATGCCGCCGTCAATGCGGCCGCCCACCAGCAAGGCCCCGCCGGTGCTCCCTGCCGATGCGTGTGTGGGCAGGGCCGTCAGTGTGTGCATCTCTCGGGCAGCCGGGAGATGCGAGGAGCCTGCCGGTCCGGACCGCGAGGGCCTCACGGTTGGGCTCACGCGGGTCCACCGGAGACTCACTGACAACCAGAAAACGCGGCACAATGAAAAGGAGTCTTTTTCGATGGACACCGCATATGGCTTCGTACCTGTGTCGAGCACGAATACGTCGTTTCGAGGCCCCGATTGGTCGGCCCCGCCCATGATGACCACATAGCGATCCATCAGGACGGCTGCAGCGTGGGAGTTGCGGCCCTCGGGGATGTCACCTGACGCCTCAACGAGCTCCAACTTCCCGCTGCCTGACATGAGAAAGCATCCACACAGATCCATGGATGCATCAACACACATTTCGTCACATGCTGCTGACTGACCGTATGTGTAGCGGTAGAGATGGTCGTATACGTCCTCGGTGAAGAAGTTCTGGCCTCCGTGGACATAAACACTCCCTCCGACACTGCCAGACGCAGCACCCGAGTGTGCACGAGGCACCGCATCGGCACGCTGATCCATCGTCATGGAGGCCACCCGGCCGTCCTCTTTTCTCGCGATTTTGACCTCACACACGTCCGCGAATGTGTGATGTCTGTTGGCGCCGGCGATGAGGACGCCTTGTGCTCCATCTGTGTGCAGCCTGAAGGACGCGCCGCCTCTGCCCTGGTCGTCGAGGCCCTTGGCGATGACTCGAATCGGCCGCCAGTCAGCTACGTAGGGACAACTCATCGAATGCAGAGGATCTGATCCCGGCGCTGGTGCTGAAATTAAGGCCCCGGCCGGCCGAAATAAAGGGACATGACCAGTTCTTTTCTGTGCCGCAGTTATGACATATACAGTGAATAGAGCTACTTCGTGTCAGTCTGTCTGCTTGTCTCTACTTGTCTCATGAACAACGTGACAGACGCACGACAGACACTCCTGCACGTGTCCTGGATATGATTGCAAAGTGACCAACAGATATAAAATGTAGGCACCGATACGAGCCAACTCGATGGTCCTTGACAGCCCTGACAAGAGACGCTCGGAGGATTGGCACGTCTGAGTCATGAGCCCAATCTGTGACTGAGTGACTCACTCACCGCTGTCAATGCGGAACAGCCTGCTCGCCCCACTTGCGGCTGCTGCTGCACACTCGTCTGGCTGACTATCATCGACACGACTGGTGCACGAAATCGGAGCCCAGCTTGTCCTTCATCACCCCCAGATTGACTTTGAGTACGATGTTGGCGTCTGCGATGCTCTTCCGATGCTGCCGCATTCGGAGAGACACCAACGGCCTGACAGCGACACACACATGCACGCAATGACACACACAACACGCCCGTGGTGTGTGCACAGCACGCACCTTCTTACCAGGGTGCAATTGTGAGGTGGTAAGACGGCAGGCTGTGACGGCAGCATTGCAGGCATGAGAGCAGGCACGAGCAAGCTCCATGATAAAAAAGCCCGCCAAATATAAAATGTAGTCAGCGATCGCTGATGGTGGACAAGATCGTCCCCACCAGCGCTCTACACTCTTGCTCCCACGCAAGCAGACGGAACGGCAGGCAGGTGACGGCAGGCATGCAGGCACGTCAAAGATGATGACGGAAGGCTGGGCCGATAAAGACGGATGGCGATTCGCATCCATTCGTATCCATTCCTTAACTGCACACGACCCCCACGCAGCCCAAAACACACGCAGTAGGTCGCACAGACAGACAGACAGACAGACCATACAGACAGACAGCCAAAACAACCCAGAAACGGAAAGAAAGCCAGACGGACACTCGAGAGAGAGAGATGCAGCCACACCCCATCCTATCTTCATTCGCTTTCTGTCTGGCTGGTGCGTGCCCACGCTTTCCTGCGGTAGCTTTTCATCCATCCATCCATCCATGTTGACCCCTCCACGCCCCGCACACCCAGACATCCCAAACCACTCACAGCAGGCCGCTCAGACACCGCACATTACACAGCAAAACAATAGAAACGGGCAGGCAGCCGTACACGCGATTGATTGTCTTGGTGCGTAGGGCCATCCCATCATTCTCCCACACAGATGCACTACCACTAGCTACCGGCCGGAAATCTGCATACACACACACACCGGCACGACAAAGGGAGAGGGGGAGTCAGCCGTGTGTGTGTGTATGTGTGTGTGCGGCTGTGGCTGTGGTGTGCAGCTCGCGTCCGTACGTAATGATAGTCTATCGTCAGAGAAGCCGCCGCCGCGTCAGGGACGGGGGGGTTCTCTGACCAACCTGTACAAGTCGGTCAACCTGCACCACAGACACGCACACAGGACATGTTCACACAGAAGAGGCCCTCTCCCTTTCACCCTCTTTGCTCACGTGTGTGTGTGGTGTGTCGTGTGTGGTCAGGGGCCGCGATTGAAGGCGCCCCCTGGCAGGTAGTTGCCCCATGGCGGGTAGTTGCTCGGCGGCAGGTAGGCCGCACAATCTCACGATCGCTGCGCCCACAGCTACGTTTCAACGCAAAGGTCAGGGACACTGAGAGAATTGGGCCGCTTACCAGGGTGCAATTGTGAGGAAGACAGAAGGCTGGGGCGACAGCATTGCGGGCATGAGAGCAGGCACGGGCAAGCTCCACAGGCGGAGACATGGAGCGAACAGCCCGCAAGATATAAAATGTAGTCAGCGATTGCCGGTGAGGACAAGATTGCCCCCACCAGCGCTCTACACTCTTGACGGCGCCGCACGGGATCATGAAGTTGTCGTCCTGCACACATCACATCACACAAACGCGTAGACAGAGCTATGTAGTCGGTGGGTAAGTTCTGGGTCGCATCACTCGCTCAATCACTATACCTTTACGTCATAATGGCAGACTCCCCTCTCGTGCAGGTAGCCCAGTGCCGTAAGACCCCTCCATGCATATCTTGGCAGCCTCCTCGCCCAGCGGCTCACACGCGGAGCGTCTTGCCTGAGTGAAAGGGATAGCTTTCAGTCACTTTGCCTCATTTCACCTGCCCGTCCTGCCTCACTGTGCTGGGCTCACCATCCCTCGTATCTGTCTGTCTGTCTGTCTGTCACGCGTCCCTCGTCACACACAGAGGCCATAGACATATTAGTACCACTTACCTCCGCGCATGTGATATGTCCCCTCGAGATACGGTCCAACAGGTCCTGCAGCTCTGTCGAGGGCTGTGTCGAGGGCTGCACCAATCAGACAAAGCGTGGGACACAAGCATCAGAATAAATCGCACGCACTGTGTCGCGTCTCTCTGCTGCGATCCGCCACGTACCAAGTGTTGCGGCCCCAGCAGGTCCCTAAGCATGTCTCCTTCTCCTGTGTGTGAGAGAAACAAAGAGACACACATGAGCCCATTGAGTATGCGGGTCGTCTCTTCCTCTGTGACTAGAGTGCTTATCAGACGTACCCTCCTTCTGTATGTCCTCAGCGGCACCGGTGCGGGCCTACACACATAAGGACAAAAGACTTGTCGACTTATTGACTGACGCTGAGTGAGTGAGTGCGTGGCTGATGAGCTTACGGCATCATCATAGCAAATCATGTCTAAGTCAATCATCTTAACCGCCCCCTGCACACACCATGAAGTTATTCCCCTGCACACATCACATTACACAGACAGATGGATGGCTGAATAAGTTGATTGCATCAAGCAACGCACCTTCACATCGTAGTAGTAGACGCCCCTCGCATGCAGATACCCTAGCGCAGTGAACACCCCCATGAAGTACACCTTGGCCGCCGCCTCTTCCATCCCTCGAAAATCATTCTTTTCCCTGAAGGATTGAGAAGCCAAACAAACAGTTGTCTGTCCACCTTCCTCTTTGCACTTGAGTGACCGCTCTGCCTGCCTCACTTTGTCGGACTCACCGTCGATGTATTCCATTATCATGACGGTGCGCCCCTCTATGGTAAAGGAATCGTAGTAATGGCAGATCTGGGGGCACCGACTGAGGCCCTCGGCCGTGTAGATAATGTGTGTGGGCGTATAGTGTGGCTGCACAAAGACAGACAGAGAGACAGAGAGACAGAGAGTGGCATCGATCTCGTCTGCTGTCGTCTGTTGTGTGCGTTGCTCTTACGCCTCCTCTCGAGAACTCATCCTCGAGGATCTTGATCATATACTGGCCCGACTTCCACAGCGTCGCCTGAGCCCCCCCGGGCCCTGTGGAGCCGTTGTTGACCCTCAGGCCGTATTGATGCTCCACCGCCGCCTGCACAAGACACCGACGCCATGCAGGCAGGGGATGGAATTCTTGCCCGTCATTTCTTCACTACATGTACTGCAGTGTATTCACCTTGGCCGCCTCCAGAGGTCGCCCCCGCCGCCTTTCCTGCTCACAGATGAATGCAGACAGCCACAGGACAGCACCACAGACGTGTGCCCCCACACACGAACTGACAGCCTCTTTCCCTCCCAGTGCAGTGGCACGCCCCTGGTCTGCCGCCTCATCCCGACTCCCGTTCTCACCTCCTCAAGTGCGCCTCCCCGCCTCTGTGCCGCTATCTTCTCGGCTATCTCCGCCTCTGGTCGGCCGTACCCCCGCAACCACTGCCGCGTCTCCTGGTCGTCCGCCTTGAACTCCTCCTCCGTCGGCCCTCCCGGCCTCAGTGCCGGATAGGCACTATAATCTAGCGCCACCGGCCATAGAAGTTCTCCGCGGTCTGCTCCTCATTCTCTTCGCCGCGTTTGTGTTGATGTGCGGCATGTGCAGCCGGCCCTGACAAGAGAAGGAAGCCACACAACCAGAGGTTGGTCAGCCTCTTCCCCCTCTCTCTGGTCTAGGGATGACCTACATATTGAATCAGCTCCATCATCGGTCCGCTGTCGCTCTGCTGCGACATGTAGAAGGCCTCTACGATCTTGGCGTCCGTTGGTTCTTGGCTAAGATGATGAAGGTGTACACCTCCTGATTGCCCTCTCCCGGCACCGCCCGAGATGCCAGCTGTGGCGAGAGCACCACCGTGTTGCACAGGGCCAGTTTCTGGCTCGTCAAGGGCACAACACACACCACCACCAACGCATCCTCTGTTTCGTCATCACATGAGTGCATCCCTCCGTTCTGCTCCCTCCCCTGCTCCCTGCCCACCTGATGCAGCTCATCTTTGATCCTCTTGACCTCGCTCTCATCGTTCGTCATGACCGACAATGTCATGAAGAAGTTCCTTTCCGGCAGACAGGCTGTGATGCTCTTGGAAGGGCCTGCAGCGCCCAGGGGAGGCACGGCACCTTCATGAGCGGTAGAGGGAGATAGGGCGGACCACATAAGCCAACAGCCGAGCAAAAAGGAAAAGAATTGGAGGATCTGTGGCTGGAAAAGTACCGAAAAGCGAGCGGGAATTGCGAGAGATGACCTCAGAATCGAAAATCAGAGTTTGCGCGTTGGTTGTCTCTGTCTCGAATTCTCGCCGCATTCTTTTGGCGCATTCTCGCGTGGCGAAGCACCGACAGCGGGTGTACTTCGACAAACAAAGCATTGTGTAAATCAGTCTGTGGTGTCTTGCCATCACTGCATTGCAGGAATGGCATAACGCGTTGAAGCGCCGCCATGCGTTCTTGTGCGTGGCTCAACGAATTCGCTACGTTAGGGACATTTCAAGGCAGCAGGGTCTGCTGCTTGGTACTTCCTGAGCTGCAATGCATGTACCTCGTTGAATCTTCGCACCGTCACCCCTCCCCCCTTCTGTCTTTCATGAAGCAGCATTCATTCCTTTCCATGGCGGTCCGCATCCATTGGTATCCATTGCTCTACTGCACACGAACCCCAGGCGGCCCAAAACACACACAGCAGGCCACGCAGACACCACACATAATCACACAACAAAACAATAGAGACGGGCAGGCACTCCGGAGAAGACCAAAGAAAGAAATAAGGGGGCAGCCAGCCGTCCACGGCCGCATTGATTGTCGTGGTGCGGTTGGTCGTCTTGCGTAGGGCCATCCTAGCTATCATTCTCCCACACACATGCACTACCACTACCGGCCGGAAATCTGCACACACACACACCCCGGCACGACAAAGGGAGAGGGGGTCAGCCGTGAGTCCGTGTGCGCGGCTGTGGCTGTGGTGTGCAGCTAGCGTACTTACGTAATGGTTGTTTATCGTCAGAGAAGCCGCCGCAGCGTCAGGGCCGGGGGATTCTATGACCAATCTGTACAATGTCGGTCAACTCTGCACCACACACAGACACGCACGCAGGACATGTACTCACAGAAGAGGCCCTCTCCCTTTCACCCTCTTTGCTCACGTGTGTGTGTGGTGTTGTTTTCCGTCAGGGGCCGCGATTGTAGTTGCCCCATGGCGGGTAGTTGCTCGGCGGCAGGTAGCCCCCGCCTGCACACACAATAACAGAGACGGCGACGAAACATTGTGGCGCGTGTGTCGCCGAATCATTTGTCCGTCAGTCTGCTTACCCGGATACATCTGTGGGTGGTAGTGCTGAACGTTGCCGTAGTTGTAGGGATGCAGTACAGGCGGGGGGCCCGCCACCTGACACACATGGACACGCAAACAACAGACAGTCATACACGCCCCACCCCCGCCCTCCCCCGTCCCTCTTGGCTCACAGGAACGAACGACTGATACTGGTAGGGGGCGCCGCCACCCACCGTCGGATGTACCGGCTAAAACAAACACACCACAATGAACCATCACCACACACACACACACAACAATGCAGACGGGCGCTCAGGTACATGTACGTCAGTATCTCACGGTCGTACCTGGCCACCAGCCATGGGCATGCCGCCGCCAGCCATCGGAACGCCTCCGCCCACCATCTGATACACCGACTGAAACACACACCGAATGCAGATTGATTGCACTGTGTGGGTGGGTGTCTGTGCGTTGTTTGATCCATTTCGTGTATGTACGTGGGGTCGCTGAGCTACAGGAGTCGCTAATACATGGGGCCCTTGGGGCGCCTGCACATGATCCCACATGACACGACAATACACATATGGGTCTGCCCTTCCACCCACTCGTGTATGTCTGCAGTGGACCCACCTGAGCTATCGTGTTGGTCTGCGACGCCGCAGCAGCCGCCTGAAGCAACCATCACACATCCCCATCAAATCCGCATTGTCGAGAGCAACCATACTCACCGCCGCAGCAGCAGCCGCGTAGCCAGATGAAGACGACACGCCACCACCACCAGCACCACCACCACCACCACCACCCTGAAGGAGACGAAAGTCGAGCGCACAAACAGACCAGCCATCGAATGCAGTCGAGATGCACGGGCCATGTGCTACCACAGGCGGGTTGACACTGCTACTCACGATCTGAGGGTACACAGAGAAGGGAATGGATGGGTCGATGACGCCACCATACGATGCATTCCCACCCATTTCACTCACCGCAGGGTTCGTCATGGGAGGCTGGCTCATAGTCTGAGGAGCCAACAGATGCACACACCACACGCAAAGAGATTGCACATGTATATGTGTATCGGTCCAGACGTTGTTGAGTAATGCGCTTACACACCATCATTGTTGATCCGGAAAACGGCGTGCGCGTCTCGTTTGACATGGATGTCGACTGCATACACACGACACGTGAAAGACAATCACATGGAGGACAAAATGGCCACGTCCACCTACCGCTGTCTTCTTCTTCGTGTTGATGTGCGACAGGGTGCCCAGCAACTGACAGACAAACACAACAGCCAGAGGTCCGTCCGTCAGCTCTGCAACGTCGTGTGTGCGGTGGCGTACGAGGGGGGCGAGCTCCATCAGTGGTCCGTCCTCACTCTCCATCTCCATGAAGATTTTCCTCACGGCTTCCTCGTCCACGGCGTCCTCGACGGCGATAAAGAAGGTGTGCACGTCGTCCTTCCCCTCTTCGGGCACGGTGCGGTTCAACTGCACAGGCGACTGAACCGTCGCATCGTACGCGCTCAGCTTCTGGCGTCAGACACACGACACACAACACACAACACCAATAAGACCCCAGTTCCGTCATGCATCACACGCCTCTGAGTCGGCCCTTTCTCGGCCTTCCTCCCTGCCCACCCACCTCGCGCAGTTCGTTCTTGCTCCTCTCCACTATGGCGGCGTCCGATGTCATCACCGACAGGTAGAATAAGCGCGGCAGACCCTCCGCGATGGTCTCAGAAGGGAGGGCCCGCTTCATGGAGCCCTGAGAGGGGCACGGCGGCCTCATGCCGCCCTCAGCTCAGCTGCTCAGAAACCCGTTCCGGTTTCACGGAGCATCCTGCGAGCTTGGGGGCCCATGTGGTGTCTCAGTCTCAGTCTCTCCCCCGATGAGAGGCGTCATTCAGAGGACGTTTGCGCCCGTGCGGCTGGACCTGGCGGCTTATCCTCATTTGAGGCCAGGAGGGCCAACGGAGGCGGACCACGCAGCAGCGGAGCGGAAGAGCCGCAAGTGGATGGCCGACGGGGGGCTGTCGGAGGAGCAGATAGCCGAGCGGCTCGAGAAGCGAAGACGGGAAGGCGCACTGCAGCAGGTGAGAACAGTTAAATCTGACGAAGGCAGGAAAAGAGATCAGGGGAAAGGGACGGCCGAGACGCAGGGCAATAGGCTGTCGGTGTATGGGGACCAGACGTGTGAATTTGTCGTTCCTGCGTGTCTATTGCCCGTTGGCAGAAGTGGGAGGGGCACAGAGAGTTCGAGGCAGCCAAGGTCAGTCCACTGCAGTGAAGAAATGACGGACCAGAACTCCGTCCCTCTACCTGTATGATGTCTTGTGCGCAGGCGGCGGTGGAGCACCAGTACGGGCTCATTGTCGAGGGCAGGGGCAGGATGGGTGGGCAGGCACATCTGTGGAGGTCGGGGCGGTACATGATTAAGGTCTTTTCGAGGGACTTCTCACTGGGAGGGGTAAAAGCAACACACAAACACGACAAGAAAGCGTGTGTATGCGCACACGACATGATCCGTCTGTCTGTCTGTCTATATGGTTGCCTGTGTGTGTATGTGCAGCCCCGCTACACACCCACACACACTATATACACCACAGAGGGCCTCAGCCGCTGCCCGCAGATCTGCCGATACTATGACTCGTTCACCACCAGCGGCAGGACCGTCACGATCATGGAGCACATAGACGGTGAGCCCAACACAGGAAGGCAAGACAGGCAAGTCAAATCAGGCGAACTGACTGCTTGTCTTTGTTTATCAGGCAAGACACTGTCGGCGTGTGAGCCACTGGGTGAGGAGGCCGCCAAGACATACATGAAGGGGGTGTTCACTGCCTTGGCCTACCTCCATGGGAAGGGAGTGCACTACTACGACGTGAAGGTACATTGATTGAATGAGTTAGCCTCCCACCACTTAAGCACCGACTACATAGCTCTGTCTACGCCTTTGTGTCATGTGATGTGTGCAGCCGGACAATTTCATGGTGTTCCCCTGTGGCGCCGTCAAGATGATTGACCTTGATATGATCGACTATGACAATGCCGTAAGTTCACCAGCCACTCCCTCGATCAGGATCAACCAAGTCGACCAGTTGTTTGTCTTTCTGGCGCATGTGTGCAGGGCCGCAGCGGGGCGAGGGAGGACGTGGAGAAGGCAGGTACGTCTGATAGGCAGGCAACCCAGCAGGAAGAGAGACGAGACGACCTGCAAAGTCAGCCTCCTTCTCTGGTCTATCTCCTTCTCACACGCAGGAAGGATGCTCCAGGGGCTGCTGAAGCCGAATGTGTCGGTACGCAGCAACAGAGATGATAAGACACAGTGCCTGACTGTCATTCTGATCCTGTGTGTTTGATTGATGCAGCCGTCACCCGAGCTGCAGGACCTCTTCGACCATATTTCGAGGGGCCAGATGACGAGCGCCGAGGTATACGGTATAGATATGTCTATGACCTTTGTGTCTCAATCGCCTGTGTGGCGCCCTCCTGGATGCGTGTATGTGCAGATTCTGGCGCACCCCTGGCTGCGGGGGACACACCTCCCCACCCCGCCGCCCTCACCACCACCGCCACAGCATCAGCTGCGGTTGGTGAAGGAAGAGACGGTCGCCCAGGCGCCGCAGCCCCCCACACATCGTGAGCAGCACACATGGTTATTGACGTGTCATGCATGTTCCGTGTACGGTGTGTGGATGCAGAGCTGGTAAAGCACCTCCCCGCCATCCGAATACACCTGCCCCCTCCACCCCCGCCGCCTCCCAGACCCCACCCGCCCCTTCCC